TAAATCGTACATCAGTTAATTCTAGTTTCAACCCGTTTGCTTCTGAGTTCCAGATGTTTCTCTCTTCCTTCCACAAAGTAAAATGACATGTCACACTATGATTTAAATATTTTTTCTAAACTTCCCCTGAATGCAAATGCTTCTTGAAGGTTTTTTAAGTTTCTTTTAATTATTATTGTAGCTGGGGAATTCATAGTTAAACTTGCCTCTGCTAGCTCCAATCTAAGAATGAATCGTGTGCAATATCAAGCGTCATTTATACCTTTATGTACTGGTGGGGGTAAAGGGGGGTGGGGTTAAACAAACCACCTTAATTTTAGTAGTGGTAGAAATTGATATTATCATTATTTTAAAATTTTGCAGAAATTTCTAAGTTTAAGAAGTGGTCAAGGTCATTGCAAGATAATAAAAAAAATGTGTGAACAATTCATTTAATTCTGCAGCATGTTTTTACACATGATGTATCAGAATTAAACAAATTGCTCACACATTTTTTTTTAAGAATTTGGAAAAATTGAATTTACTGTGTTATCTTTGGTAATGTAAAATGTTAAAAGGAAAAAAATTACCGTGTCTTTTTGATCTTGGAAATTGAAGATTTCCAAGACAATCTTCCTTTAGCATCCCGGATAAGGTAGTCAGTTCTTTTCGGATGTTCAGGGTTTACAACATCTCTTGGTAATCTAATTGAAAAATGCTCTCCTGTATCGTTACGTTTTATAATGATGTTATTAAACCATACACATCTGACAAAGAAATATTTCGTACACCTTTTCATCCTTCTTACCCGGATTGCTTTGGGAAGTTCTTTAATTTTATTGGAAGACTCTGTGGTTTTATTGTGTTTTGAATGAATGGAGCACATATCACTATTCAAAACACAAACCTTTTCACAGTGTTCCCCCTTACTAGCACCCTTTTTAAAAACATATCGACACTTAGAGAGGGTGTGTGCAAATTTTCTTCTCCTGTCAGCAATTAATTGTTTACACTTATCTGAAGGAGAAGTGTGAAGGTGGTCAAAGGATTTGGAAGTGGCTGGTAGGGAGTCTTTTAGAGGAGATATGATGGGTGGTGGAATAGTGAATTGTAAAGGTGGAGTTGTCGAGGGAGAAATACATGGTGTAGAAGTTGGAGGTGGAGATGCAGTTCTAGTAGCAGTAGGTGTTGATAGAATATCAGCAACAGTGCAGTCAGAGGACGAGGAAGAGCTTGTAGATGAATCAGATGAGGTTAACTCCGAAGAAGATGAACAAGACGAACTTGATTGTGAAGATGAAGATGAAGACAATATTTCAATCAGTGGAGGAGATTGATCACCAATGGCTCGGAAGGTGTATTGTTCTTCTGCTCCAGGACTTGCACCTTCTGACTGCAGTATTTCTCGAAGAACCGATTTTGGATCTGACGCATGTGATGAAATTAAAATAGATCGAGGAAGAGACTTTGAAGATGAAGAAACTACTTTCGAGGGTCTAGTGGGAATTCTAAGGTAAGCCATGATAGCAAATGAAACAGTGAATAGTAACTGGAGCTGACTCAGCTAGCTAGGACTACTTCAGACCATTGAATGATGATTGCCTGCGAAGCAAACCTCCTTTTATAGCAAAACTCAAGTGGAGGGGAAAGCTTGTGGGTGGAGGGGAGAAGCTTGTGGTTGGAGGGGAAATGTTGTGTCCGTTGGTGTTAACTTAAAAGAACTGTTCTCGGTTCCCAATAATGTACTATAAGGAAGCTTTCTAAGTCCTGTAAGTAGGTCAAGGTCATTTAAAAATATTGCCAAAAGGAGAGATGGAGCAAAAATTGGCTCCATCTCTCCTTTTGTTGTAATAGGGGAACTTAGTGTTTGTTATGTATTTTAAGGGAAGCTTTCTAAGTCCTGTAAGTAGGTCAAGGTCATTTCAAAATAATGCCAAAAGGAGAGATGGAGCAAAAATAAGCTCCATCTCTCCTTTTGTTGTAGTGGGGGAACTTAGTGTTTGTTTTATTTTCGTGTTTGTGTGTAAGTCTGAATGGCTAAAGACCAATATATCAGTCTTTTTGATCAGAGGCAGCGCAGCCAAAGGACTGTCCTCATGTTATTGATCAAAGACTCATTAGCAATAGCCGGAGCAGCGCAGTCAACGAACTGTCCCATAAAAATGTGTGAATGTCATCTATCTCATTTTGTTGTAGTGGGGGAACTTAGTGTTTGTTTTATTTTCATGTTTGTGTGTAAGTCTGAATTGGCTAAAGACCAATGTATCAGTCTTTTTGATCAGAGGCAGCGCAGCCAAAGGACTGTCCTCATGGTATTGATCAAAGACTCATTAGCAATAGCCGGAGCAGCGCAGTCAACGAACTGTCCCCATAAAAATGTGTGTATGTCAAAGAGAACTCTATGTCATGAATTTACTATGGTTTCATGTTTTTGTTTTGTGTGAACGTTTTCACTTACTAATGTCACTTAGAACTTTGTAACATACAATGATCAACTCAAATTGAAAATAAAATTACTAATAGGGACTTTATTATTTTGATACCTGAAATAGAACATCACATAATTAAGAAATACAACACCCTTACCAAAGATACAAATACGCAAAACACCCTCTAACTACAAGCCAACAAATACTACAATCAACATGCTTCTAATATAACTACTAAGTGACAAGAACCTTAGGTTAGAGTGGTACCAACTCTAAACTAAGGGTCTCATCTTTAGCCAGTTTGCCCATCCGGTCAGCTTCACCGGTTGTGCAAGACTGACAATCATCCGTCTGCTCGCAGCCCTTTTATACGCTCGGGTTGAGTGGTGGGGGTAGAACAACGCTGCACCTGCTTATGTAAATTAACTAGCGATAGTAGGTCCCTAGCTAGAATATATGCCCGGTCGGATTCAAACATATACAAGATCCATTACTACCGTTTTTATATTTT